GTATACGTACGAGTATGTGGATAATGGGAAGAGGCTGCCCTTTGATGTGGGTGTGGTATGAACGAGAGTGGCACACAAAAGGGTGTGAGTGTGAGGCTGTGGGGTATGGGTCCTTGATGAACGACCCACACCCACACACTTAACACAAATTATAAATGAATATTTTGGTTTTAATAATTTGCTCTACTTTTTGCTGCGTACATCCTACTGTTTCTGCAAAAGATCAAAATAAATGCGGAAACTTCGGATTTAAATCCGAGAGTTATGTGTACTTCAAAAAGTGAATGAGACAGATGAGTCGTTCTAGAATATGGGGATATAAAAATTATTCTGGCAAACCTTATCTATAAACACTTGATTTCTATTGGCTACTGCTCAACCAATAGGATTTTGGGATGAATACAGCTCAGATTTGAACTCTTCACCTTGATTTACCCTAAGAAAGTCGTTTTTCCTATAACTTGATTTCTATTGGTTACTGTTCAACCAATGGAATTTCGAGGCGAATAGAGCACAGATTCGAGTTCTCCACCCCAGAAAACCTCGAACTATCATCTCTGTGATCGAAAGATAGAGCTCTATTTGTGGATCAATTAGAGCGTGACAAAAACAGAACCGAATTCCGATTAATTATCTTTGCAATAGCTGAGTTGGCTTTCTTGTTTCCTTATGTTTTATATACCACTTTGTAGCTCGTGAAATTCTCTATCGAATGGTATATAATAGTTGGGGTTTTAGTTGACTATGATAGGAAAAGTCTTTTACGAAAGTGGGGATGGGTCGATCTTTCCATAGGGAAGGTGCAGGGAAAAATGAGTATTTTTGCAATAACTCAGGAAGGGCTCGGCCAATTCTTCTCATCTTCGAACTCGACCGAGACATTGTTAAGACTGAACTGTGTAGAAAATTTCATCGCGATTAGACTCCTTTCGAAAGTTATCGTGTTAACGGCCGGACGGCCGGACATACTGACCGATTCTAGAGTGTACTCACTTTTTGAGTACACAAAAAAAGGATTGTAATAGAATACGCATATGTCTAAGCCTTGTACGGTTCGTACAATAAAATGCTTGCTGTTCATATCGGACAGATTTCTGATCCATTGTCTTGTTTATACCATCAAACGGCAATCGAAAGCCTATACTCTCTGAAAACAAAGTGCCCGGAGAGAACCATTTTTCGGTGCCATCTTCTGAATCTGTTTTCAGCTAGAACTAAAAAAATGGTTCAGAAAGCGACACCAAAAGCTAGAATCTAAAAGCGTTCTACTCATGGCTAGAACCCAAAAAGAGTTCTGCATGACACCTTTTTTTAAAGAGTAGGTAAACTGCACTTTCTCTTACGAGGGAGCATACCCAACTGTGAATCGTCAATCGAAATGACATTTTATCCACAAATAGTACTCGGTAAGAATAGAAAAAGTCTAAAAGTCTAAAAAGATTCATTCCCATAGGTCTTCTTTCGAGAGTTATGAATATGTTACCCGATTTCTGGCTTATGATGAAGTATCCATAGATGGAATTCTTGGTTTGTAGATTAGATATCTCGAGAAGCAACTATCTGTTTCGTCTGAAACTTTTCGGGTATTGTACAAACCAAAAATTCTATCTATAGACAAAGTTCCATATGAAAATTTCTTCTTTTTGATTTTTCTATGAATGCTTCATTATAAGCTAGAAATCGGGTAATATACTCATAACTCTCGAAGGAAGACCTATGGGGGATAAATCCTTTTAGGCTTTTTCTAGTCTCACCGAGTACTACTTGTGAGCAAAATATCACTTTGATTGATGATTCACAGTTGGGTACGTTCTCTCGTTAATGAAGAAAGTTCAGAAGACTTCTGTACTTTTTCTTTTTTCCATTGTTTTCCGTAATTGAAATATTATCTGTCACATGAAAAAGCAAAGAAATCAGACAAATGATCATGTTATCAATAAGAGCTTGCAATTACTTTAAAAGCAACAAATTTTCTAGTCACGATGTTTATAATATCCATTCGAAAATTATTTTTCAATAAATATTTTTCAAAAATAGAATTACATAAAATCTAAATCACTTGCGATGTTGAAAAATGAGATCAAAAGAATCTCGTTGATTTTTTTTTGCTTCTATAGAATTTCGTTAGATACTCAACCATTTCGAACGTCATATAAAACCATTACATAGAGGAAAACATGTCAAAAGAAGTTTATGGGAAGTTGGATGTTGCAAAAAATTAAAAAAAGAGCTATTTCTCCAAACGTCAAGGTACGAATTACAGATATTAGAACCATGGTATCCATTCGATATCTATGAAGCTATCAGACATAGAAGAAAATAACCTATACTTCTGAAGAAATTCACTGACTTATACAAATTTGAAGATTTTTTTCACAAAATGTGGTGATATCCTCAGATGAAAAAATATTATTCGAAAGTTGAGAAGAAGCGGAGACGGGAGCGATAAGGTTTGAAGTCCTGTGATCTGAGAGAACATTTTGAGATTATCACTTACGATTACAAGACGAAAGAACAAGGTCTAATTTCTCTATGATACAATTACTTCTTTTTCTTTTTCTCTCATCCAATCGGTATTTTTAATCAAAATTATTTTATTCTTTTCCGTCACACTGTAGTGCTGTCTCGTTTGGATTTCTTTTCACGATAGTGAAGGAAACAAAAATAGAAAGCAACGTGGCACATGTTTCGTGTTCTATTCGTTGGTTTATTTTGTATTATTGCATTGAAGAGAAATAAACTATTATAGTTTTCTTTTTTGATTTGTTCTCTTAATTATCTTTCACTACGTGTTTAAAAGATAACAATCATTTGAATACATACTACCACACATTCCTTTCAAAATACATATATCAGATAGATTTTTCATTCTATTTAAATTCTATATATTGAAGAATTGACTATTAATTGTACTATTAAAATGTATTAATCGGAATAATCGTACTTGTTATTTTTTAGAAATGATTTCATCACTTGAATCTTTTTCAACTGAACTTTTATTTGATATATTTGAATATCTGTCACCATATGATTTATTTCGATCATTCATTAATCTCAATGATCGTTTTAATACTATT